TTTTTTTTTTTTTGGGGGGGGGGCGGCCAGATTGAAAGGTTCACAGGCTCTGGGTTTGTGGAGGGGGGGCAGGGGGCCGAATCTTGCGTTTGGTATGCCAGGCAACATTCAAGAGCAAACCGCTCTGCATGGGGTATCCTGTACGAGTTGAAGCAACCAGAATTACATCAAGCAAGGTCTAGGTTGGAAAGACGTCTTGTTGTTGCTAGCGGTTCCTTGTTCTTTAGTTCGGGTCAGAAATTGCGGCATGCCTGAAATTCTGCAGAAGGTCGCTAGTGCCTTAAGAGTGTGGTTGAAGATAAGGCCATCGAAGAGGCAGGGCAGTCGGAGATGTGTAGTCTGTGAGCCCAGTTGTCACTTGAAGTGCAGTTGTCACCAGAAGTGCGCCAACTGCTTCGACATGTGTGGTTCCTTCCTGGTCACGCCACGTAGCTCGCCCTTAGCCCCATGTTGCCTCTGATCCCCACGCATGCTTTGTGACCCACGCTGTGGATGTGTCTGTGAAGAGCGGCAGCCAGGAGGCACTGTGCAGGTCGACTTGGCAGAACTGCTCCGTCGCGGATCCTGTGCAACGCGTGGTGTGCCCGCGGAAGCTGTGCCACCCCAGATACCCGATGGAGCAGGCAGCCCGACCTGGAATGAGGAATCTCTCCTCGCCAAGCAGTCGTCACCTGAACTATGTCATGAACCGCATCAAGTTTGGCAGGGTGCGCGTGCGGGTGAGGAAGATGAGGAAGAGAGGCGGCAGCAAGAAGCCATGAACCACGACGTACGCCTCCAGAGCATTGCTGTTTTCTTGAAGAAGCATGGTTTTTCAGGAATCAACGTTCCCAAGCGAAGATGCTTTCGCAAGACCTTTGCTCTCCACAAGGCTGCGGAGCTGGCGGATGTAGCGACGACCACCTTGCTGCTGGCCGAGGGTGCTGATGTGTCGCTGCGTAACTCCTCTGGTAGGACTGCGGCAGATGTGGCAAAGAAGATTGACAATTGCGGCTCCCATGCGGCAGTGTTCAATTTGCTGGTAGAGGCACCCAAGCCTTGTCCTCCCTGAGTGGCGTTGAATTAATCGTGTGCAGGAGTTCTGTACAGGTGCAGTCGCACATACTGCAACTAAATCTGCAAGGTTGTTGATGGATTCATGCTTCAGGCTGTTTTTCATCCTGATAAGGAGTGCTGGATGTGACCTGCGTGCATAAAAAGTACGGATTCGCGGCGATCTTACCCCTGAAGGCGTGTTTGATCCGTGTGCAACGCAGAGAGACTCGTGGGAGGCTCTGCAGCTGTCTGGCGAAGCTGTTCCACCGGGGCTCAGAGACCGGCAGTCGCGCTGCGAGCGCGAGGGATTGACAAAGCAACGTCGAAAAAAGAAGCTGCAATCGCAGCTCTTGTTCCCTTTGTAGAGCATCTTGCATTCTGAAGGTTTTGTTGTTTGCAGAGCTGACACCATCTTCTGACTTCCATCCGGGTACTTAGGAAGACCCTAAGCTCCCGAGCTGTTTTCCTGCCAGAGCCTTCCCGGGGTCACCATCGGAAGAAGGCTTCAGCTTGTGCACTGACCCAATTCCACTACAGAGCCTCAGCTGATTCTCAAAGAAAGCTGAAAGCTAGGTTTGTTAAATTCAGCCTACGTGATGTTCTCGGCGATTTCGTGTTGTCTGCTGCTGGGTCTTTTGCGGGGTGCTGCGGGTGCTCAGAGCTGAGTTCCGCAGGCACCAGCTCCAGGTTACGGCTGGAGGACGCCATCACCAGTGCCAGAAAGACGCTCGCAGCTATCAGGATAGCCAGGATAGCCCACGCAGGAGAGGATGACGCGGACTACGGAGAGGATGGAGACGAGTCCGAAGATGCTGAAGAAGCGTCTGACTTAACCTCTTACCTTTTTAATGCAACTCTGCAGAAGTGCAATGAGCTGGAGCTCGAGGCTGATGGCCGGAGAAGCCTGAAAAGCAAGCTGCGGGACGTGTGTGCGCAGGCAGACGCTCAGGGTCTGGTTTCAAAGCTCTCTGAAAAGATGAATGATGCTGTTGTGGCCGAATGGCTCTGTGGGGCCAGCGGAAAGGAGATCGAAAGTTGCCAGGAGACAGCAGAGTCCCTTTTGGGAGGATTGTCGGAAGTGCTGGAAGCAAAGCTGTCCTCGGAATCTCTGATGAAGTTTTCGCTCTACACCGTCAAGGCTGTGGCCACACTGGCCCCGCTGCCTCCTCCGCTGGGCGTGGTGCTGAACAAGGCTGCAGACCTGGTGCTGAATCGACTCAGCCGGGAGGCTGAAGCTGAGCTGGAGGACCTGGAATCCAAGATGGAGCTTCCTGGCGAAGCGATTTCAGGAACTGTTGCAGGTTCTCCATCTTGGTTTCGCTGAGGCAAGTGAGCCAGCGGGTCATGACCGAGGATCGGATTACTGGGGTGTTTTGCTTTTGCCTTGCGTTCCCGAAGCTGAAGCTGGCTTCCTTTGCTGATGCTTGCGGCTTGCGGCAGGAACTGCTGCGCTTGGGTTCTGCTCAGGCAAGGGCCGAAGAGGATCAGATCCAGGAGAGAGGCACATTCAACCTTGTCTGAGGCTTCCGGGGTAGGTGTAGCGGCGTCCGTTGCAAACGAACAGGAGATGTCTTCCATGGATGCCCTCTGGACTGTGGCATGGAATGCATGGGCTTCGATTCGTCTTCTGCCTGGTGCACGGTCTCTCTCTCTCTCTCTGTCTTTCTCTTTCTCTCTCTCTCTCTCTTTCTTTCTTTCTTTCTTTCTTTCTTTCTTTCTGTCTGTC